TAAACACACACACACACACACACACAAAGTATATTAAATTAGAAAAAATGCAATCGAAAAAGACTGAAAAGGTTTACCCAGCAAAGTGAAACACGCCCACAACCGAAAGCGCCGCTCTCATTGGACATGTGCACACGCTGCACGCTCCTCTGTTTATGGTTCAGACGCGGTTTAATTCCCCACAGAGAGCGTCCTTTAATTATCTCAAAACATGTCAGAGGATATTTAAACCTAAATATCGTCGACAAGTGTAAATGACGTGAAATTTAGGCTACTTTATTTGTTTTCCTGTAAGGTTCCTTTGTTCCAGCTGTATGAGACGCAGATGCAGTCATTTACACGCGGCAAGACATTATATTGTTTTTAGCCGCTGCCATCGTTACTGAAATGAGGTAAGCACAACTTTTATTGATCTTTTTTCACACTGCATGAACTGAATTTCTCTTATTTTTAGACTGTCAAGAGGACGCCAGCAGTTGAGAAGTTCACATTATTGTAGCCAATAATTTATATTTCACAGTTAAATAAGATTTTATTTTTTGTTTTGAAACTGTTTTCCTTCAGAAATACACATTTATTTTTCTTTGGTATTTCCAAAACAATATTGTTCTGTTTAATAGTTTTTTAATTGATAAATCTATTGATTCACTGCGATATTTAATAAATGCATATTATCTCCCACCATTGACTAAGACTACTGTCTCTGCACTAAGATTTGTGTTTGATTTGTGCTCACAGTCAAAAGGGAGTCTTATCCATATGAACCTCTTTTGGATAAACAGGTAAGCCTAAGTCTATAACTGGGGAGGTATTCTATAATGTTATCAACCACAGCAAGCTTTAACAGTTTTTTTTTTCGTTTTTTTTTCTGTTTTCAGGGTGGTTGTAATGGGCCACAGGGGACCGCTGCAGTTGTCTGACCTTTGCAAGCTGTATAATGAGGAGTCTGTCCACACCCTATCCTCTGTGTTTGAGCACGAATGGGAAAAACAACAGAATTACAATGAGGTAACTGTGAAGCTCCACAACAATAGCCAGGGACAAACACTTCTGTTGTACTTGTTTTCATTGTGAAAAGCATGCTTTGAATGAGATTTATTGTTAATATTTTATTCATACAGAGGTTGGACTTAGAAGAGGATTCTGGAAGAGAGTCACTGCTGGTCTCCAGAAAAACCAATACTGGTTACTCTCTCCTTTATGCAATGTGGGTGACGTTCCGTCCAGCCTTAGTCAAAGTTGCGCTTCTGAGACTGTCAACTGATATTTTTAGCATTTTAGTTCCTTTGACTCTCAGGTATGACTGTGATTCTTATTTCAAGCCAAGGCTAGATTTAGTTGTTCAAAAATACAGTTAAAACAGTTATATTGTCAAATATTAATACAATTTAAAACAACAGTTTTCTATTTGAATATCACTTTCCAGAAAAATAATTTCAGCATTTAAGCACCAATAATAATTGATAAAATCAGCATATTAGAATGATTTCTGAATGATTATGTGGCATTGAAGACTGAAGTATTGGCTGCTGAAATTCTCTGATCTATTTTTGTACATGTTTTTTAACCTCAGGTGGGTTATCCTGTTCTGTGAGAGACAGGCTGTGTTTGACTGGGCAGGATACACATATTCTCTGGTGGTGTTGGGAGCAGTTTGCTGCTGTGCTGTTTCTCAGCATCACTTTGAGAAACATAGTAGGATAATTGCAGCCAATGCACAAGCGGTTCTAGCTGGCTTCCTCTACAGGAAGGTAAAGGTCTTATTAACTGTCTCATTATCTCAGTATGCTTTCAGTCCAAACAAAAAACAGTCTGCAACTTTTTTTTTCACAAATGTTTTGTCATGTCAAACTGAAAGTGTATCCATTTCTTTATATACTGAAAGGATTATCTTCTTTATTCCATGGTTCATGTTCCTTCCATTCCAC